CGTTCTAGCAATTTGTACCAAACTCGGTATGGTTATTGTGCTTGCCACATAAAAGCAAACCGTTGAAAATTGTTGAAATCGGACTAAAATTACGGCCGCTTTTCATATAACGGTAAATTTCAGAAATGCTTTAACTTTCAATATTTCGAAATTTAAGGATGCTATTTTACTTAAAATTTATACACCCGCTTATCATGTAGCGGTATCTTTCGGAAAGGTGGAAAACATATATTTAATACTTGCGCCGGGTATTTAATGTTCGGCTCCGCCCGAACTTAGACTTTCTTACTTGTTTTTCTTTTAAGTTTNACGCTTTCTTGACATTTGTCGCTTATTTGAGCTAGTAATGGGAAAAATATCGATATTGTCGATAAAATAAAGAAATAACTTGGACGTTACACGATCAAGATCTTGGTTTCAAGTTGCAATACACTCACACTTTTTTACTAACATGCACGTTTACAACTTGAACGGCGACTTAATATCAATTTTTACTTTCAAGTCGTGTAGCAACTTGAAAGTCAAGTCAAAGAGCTGATTGATTTTTTTTCTAAAAATGTACATACCTTTGCATATTCCGGTACATTTGCTTGTACCCAAACCTTCGTTTCGGTACACGGTACAAAACCAAAAGTTTCGGTACTGTACCGGAGATTTAGGTACGGGTGGTCACCTTATGTAAGTATGTATGTACATACGTTTGTGCATATACATACATATAAGCGATTTGCAACAGTTATAATTTTTTTTAGAGTTTCAAACAAACTAAGAGTTAGGAGTGTTAAGGAAATTTACGTTTTAACGAGAGTCTCCATGTTATCTACTCGTTTGGGATGAAATATATTTTACACACTATGCTACATATGTACGTATGTAAATATTTGTTTGAATAAATAAACACAGTGTTGCACAGAATAAACGCAACCGGAAACGGATACAATTTTAATTGCAATCTTTTAACAGAAAAATTCAGTTAAAAACCTAAATTGGATGCTTTTTTCTGCATAACACTGTATATATTGTACTAGTTGAAATGCCCATAGTCGACAGCATTTTCGAAATAACTTTGTATTTATTAGCTGCAACAAGTGTTTTGTTACAATCACCAACAATTGTTCCTGCGAACAACAACAAAAATATAAGCTTTGTGAAAATCATCATTCCTAAGTTTATTGTAATGTTTTAGAATTATCATAACGTTCTGAAAATGCATTGTGGCATACGTGTGGGTGTGTATGTGCTCCATGCAAAAATTATTGCTTTCAATTAGAGTCCGACCGATAAATCGGGCGATTCCGAGGCTAGTATCGGCCAAAAGAATCGGCATAGGCCGTTAGTGTGTAACGGCGTCGGCCGATTCTTGAATGAGTGAATGCCATTTAGTTATTTGATTAAGTTTTTCTTTTTTTATTATTTATAAAAGCATTTGTTCGGCCGATTAAATCCTGAATATAAATTCATTCAAGAACAAATGCTTTTATAAACTTTTATAATAACAAAAGAAAGACATAATCAAATAACTAAATAACATTACCTCATTCAACAATCGGCCCAAAACGGCCGATGCCGATTCTTCTGGCCGATACTAGCCTCGGCATCAGCCGATTAATCGGTCGGACTCTACTTTCAATAAAACAAAACTGTGCTATAGTTACTATGTATGTATTTATAGAGGCTAGAAATTAAGGAATTCTGATTGAACCTTCTTAGCAGTTGCAGTTTACACCGTACTTATAACCAATTCAATACTCGTTTTATTTTAGGTTCTGAACCCAATGGCCCAAAAATTTTCAGTTACCATGACATAAGGCAGTATGTAAGTATATGTGATTTTGTTCTGGAATATACGTGTGTTCTCCTATTACAAAATTTTTAGTGTGACAAAATAAAGTTGTATATTTTGTTTATGGTCGTCGTTTTTAAATAATTTGCAGAACACCCACAATAGTTTACAATTGCCAAGATGACTTTATCGTTTACTTAACTTTTTTTTGGTATGTTTGAGTTAGTTTGCTTTTGTGAACGCAATGCGCGTTGTGAAAATGAATGAACAATGGGATGCATTTAAATATTTAGGAAGTTTAGGACTTTTCCGCAGCATCTTATCGAAATTACCTTTTTAATAAATCATATTTTATCGTATTGTCGAAAGAAATGTCTTTGTGACACTCATAATTTTTTTTGTTAGTAACTTCTTAATACAAGTTTTAAAGTAAAGTTTTCAATTTCACCCTCCTTTTTGTTTCGATAGCTTCATCTACATAAAATATATACATATGCTATGTATTTCCAAAGCGAATATTTACCGGCCTAAAGTGATTTGCTGTCAGTTGTTCACGTGATTTTGCTCAATAATTGTTTTATAAATTTCGGCTGTAAGCAATGTCTTAAAGATTCTACCTATTTCATATTCGAACTAAAGAAAATTCGAACTGAACCAAATGGGACGAACTTAACTTATGCTCGGCAAATTTTGCTGGTATATATTGGTAATCGCTACGCTAGCCATATTTTCAACACCAGTCGTTGGGATGGCTGCGGTTGTAGCCATAACTGCAGTTGTTGCGAAAGTTGCCCTTGGTGCAGATGCTGCATGCGCGGTTGATGTAGTTACGGTTGTTGTAGTACCTGTTGTTATAACTTTCGAAGATTTACTTGATTTAGATTTGCGTTTTAAATTTGTGCGAAGCATGTGAATAACACGATTGCGTTCACTTTCCTCTTATTCCAGTTGTTCCAAAAAGTTGGGAGACTTGAAGTATTCGGGCACTGGATCGTCCATACGAGAGATGACTTTGTAGATTGCCTTCTTCCACGATTGTTCGGTATCCTTGCCTCCTTGGATAGCGCGATAGAATTCACGCAATGTTTGTTCGACAACAAAACGAAAATTTTGAGGTACCTAAATACAAAGCAATAAACAAGGTTAGAAAAAATTATAAACGATTATTTACTACTAATCTAGCTTTTTTTCGAATGCCGAGAAGCATTTTTAACCCTAGAAGTACTTTCTTTGCGAATCGACGATGTGTGTTGTTACTGTACAAAAGTAAGAAGGTACTTTCAGGGTTAAATTACTAAAAATGCGTATGCAATGTAAGTATTTGTACAAGTACCTCAATATGGTTATTACGGTTGTAATGCAAATTCAGAACGCGATACAGTTCACTGTCACCTCCAACTTGCAGCTCATCTGCGCATTTGATGCCCTCGGTAACCGCTTGTCGCGCGTACTTCTCCATTTGGATGTAGTAGAATTCTCTGTAAGTGATATAAAGTGTTTTTTTTTAAAGATATGTGGCAATACAAGGTACATAGTATATATAATGTATCTACGTGTTAAGTACATATCGGTAAATTTACTAAAATACTGTCGTTACTCAAAAAATGAAATTTTGCAGAAAATGATACAGAACTAATAATAATAATCCCGGTTTTTACCCTCCATTCCCGCCCATCCGCACGAGGGGCGCAGTCGGTATGACGTACGGAACCAGTATTTTCAATTTTTGCGCCGAGTCACGATAGGCAGGAGTTCGTTAAGTGTTGAGATCTAAAACAGTTCAGCTACAGAACTAAATTCATCAGCCGTTTTTATGTCTTTATTTTAATGATTCATTTATTGCGAGAGAACAGTATCGATTTCTTAATGCTGAAAAGCGGATCTGATATATCAACGGAGTGGGTCGTGCAATTCAAAATTAGTTTTACAAGCTTTCAGAAATAGGGAACAAAAGTGTCTTGATACCCGGGAGGGAACGTTAAGGCTAACTCGTTATATTATGCTTCGTATTGAGTAAAAATTTCGTGCTAAAATCTTGTGTAGTTTGGAAGTAAATATACAACTTTAAACACGCCTACTGAAACTTTAAACACGCCTACAATTTTTGAGTTAAATATGACAGGCTTTTAGTAAAATGAGTGATACCCTTGTGCTCAGCTGATTAAGTCAAGTGGCGTTTTGACTAGTTTTGCCCAATTTTATTTTGTTTATTTAAAGTTTATATTTTTTCTATAAAAGCTTAGCACTTTACCTAACTAGCGCCACATATGAAAATTCAACAAACTTTAACATTTGCACCCAAAAATTTTGAACTTTTTATTTAGAATTTTTAGAAACATTTTGGGTATGCAGTTTTATAGCTCATTAGATTTAGTAGTTAAAGTGCAAATTTCAAGACGCCAGAAAATCGTGTCNGGTATGACGTACGGAACCAGTATTTTAAATTTTTGCGCCGAGTCACGATAGGCAGGAGTTCGTTAAGTGTTGAGATCTAAAACAGTTCAGCTACAGAACTAAATTCATCAGCCGTTTTTATGTCTTTATTTTAATGATTCATTTATTGCGAGAGAACAGTATCGATTTCTTAATGCTGAAAAGCGGATCTGATATATCAACGGAGTGGGTCGTGCAATTCAAAATTAGTTTTACAAGCTTTCAGAAATAGGGAACAAAAGTGTCTTGATACCCGGGAGGGAACGTTAAGGCTAACTCGTTATATTATGCTTCGTATTGAGTAAAAATTTCGTGCTAAAATCTTGTGTAGTTTGGAAGTAAATATACAACTTTAAACACGCCTACTGAAACTTTAAACACGCCTACAATTTTTGAGTTAAATATGACAGGCTTTTAGTAAAATGAGTGATACCCTTGTGCTCAGCTGATTAAGTCAAGTGGCGTTTTGACTAGTTTTGCCCAATTTTATTTTGTTTATTTAAAGTTTATATTTTTTCTATAAAAGCTTAGCACTTTACCTAACTAGCGCCACATAAATCCACATTTCAAACTTCGCACAAAAATTATGAAAATTCAACAAACTTTAACATTTGCACCCAAAAATTTTGAACTTTTTATTTAGAATTTTTAGAAACATTTTGGGTATGCAGTTTTATAGCTCATTAGATTTAGTAGTTAAAGTGCAAATTTCAAGACGCCAGAAAATCGTGTCGATTTTTAATATTATTTTTGCTGATGGTGCTGGGCATTTTCTCCCATACAAACGAAATTGCCGAGCATACATCGCGCGACGTAGGCGACATTTTTTTTTCAAAATTTTCTTTTTGATGAAGAAGTATTCCTAGATGCATTTCTGCATCAAAAATAAAATTTTGTAAAAAAATTCGCTTACGTTATTTTGGCGGTTAGGGCTCGACATTATATGGAAGAAAATGCACAACACCGTCAGGCAAAAGAAATTATTAAAAATCAACGCGATTTTCTAGCGTCTTGAAATTGGCACTTTAACCTAATAAAATTTAATGAGCTACAAAACTGCATAATTTTTCTAAAAATCCTAGATGAAAAGTTTAAAATAAATGGGGCGAAACAAAAATAGTCAAAATGTCACTGGAATTAATCCGAATCCGAGAAATAGTCAACCAAAATCGCAAAAAATGCATGCAATTCGAATTCTCTAATTTTTGTGTCAAAAAATGCATAGTAAAACATATTCTTATTTCATATTTCTGTTCATATTTATTTGAGAAATCTGATTTGCGCCTCTTACTTCTTGAAACAAAGCTCTAAACAGCATTTGTTTCAAGCACTATATCCTTTAATAAAATACAACGATATCGCTTTAAATAAATCATATTTAAAAAATTTGTTCGCATTTCGCGATTTGCTGCCAAATTTCTTTCTTTAAATATTTCTTTATTTGTATGTAAAGTCATTGAATTAACAAATTCTTACAGACCATATTAAGCTAATATACAATGTAATTACTAAGATATGTAAGTTGGTAAGTGATTAAGATGGCATACGGCCATGCCAGCATGAGTAATTGAAAAATTAATTTAAATCAGCACATACCCTAGAAATAGGCACATTCACATCATAATTAGTTCTGGAGAAACCAATTTTTAAGGACTCAAACTGTCGAAGATTCTTACAAGGTACATTAAACTGAATTTTACTAAGAAGCGAAGGGCAAACAATAGTACCAAAAATTATATTAATAACAAATGAACACGATAGAATGGATTTTCTGCTCTAAAGTGTTTTTAAGTCAATCAATAAACATCGAGAATGATACGAGGGTAAATTTATGTATTCGTATATACATACGGGTAAAATACGAAAAGTACGGATATCCGGTTAATATTCGTTCATTATGTCATACGGATATTCTAAACAGTATTTGAATGGATTCGTAAAATTGTTCTCAAAATCACTGCATATACGGAGCTGCAAAATAAATAATAGAACACTTCCAAACAACTGTTAATAACCGACTTTAAAATAAGCGGGAGATTGAAAAATGCATCGGATTATTTTGGAATCTTTATTATGTATGTTACCGGATAACTTTGGACCACGTGAAGCGTTTACGATTTTTAATCTGAAAGGTGGTATCAATAAGAAACTAACGGGACGCCTAAACTTTTATATAAGCATTGAAGTTTGTTGTATTTTTTGCTTAAGGGAGGTTCCATGGGAAAGTGGACCTCAGTGCAAAAATTATCTTCTTTATAAAACTAACAAACGTGTGGAGAAGACATTTGTAAAAATCTTGCATCCACCAAAAAATAACAAATTAAAGCTTTAAATGCATTTTTATTACCTTTTTATGTTTTGAAATCAAGTTCTAAGTAAATTTTTTGATTGAGTTTAAGGTAGGCTGTGTTGAGTGCACTGTCGAATAATTTGCGACTCATAATTCAAGTGTTTGGTAATAAAAATATATAGAATAACTCATCTGCTTTTAATAAAGTTGTGTTATATATTAAATTTTGTGAGTGCTTAATCTATATTATGAGTTATTATTAAGCAGTCTTGGTCTTGTCCCACCAGTGACAAAAAAAGATAACACGTTGTTATATTTAATTACAGAAGTTGAGGTTGTGTTTCGTGTTTGTTACATAAGGTTAGAAATTCATTGCAAATATTTACCACAATTGCATTGTCGTTTCCACGTCGTTAGATAAGAATAATTCAACAGAGAAGCATGTTCCACCCGTGACAGCTATGTGTGTTGTCAGAGGTAGGTTTACAGTACAGGGCTGATAAGCTTTATTTGTTTGTTGAGGTGGACGCAGGGGAGGACGGGGGATGCGCAGACTAGTCCATTATCTATATACCCTTGTTGCCAGCTGATTAAGTTAAGTCACATTTTGACCAGTTTTGGTTTTTTATTTTGTTAATCTATACACCCAAAAATTTTAAACTTTTTGTTTAGAATTTTAGAGTATGCAGTTTTGTAGTAGTAGGTAAAAGTAAAAATTTCAAGACGCTAGGAAATCGCGTTCATCTATACTATGAAATAAAATTGATTATATGGAGTACGTTTGTAACGACTTATTTCTCAAAGTACTGAACCGATTTTAATATTTTTTTTTTAAACGAAGCATTTGTAAAAAGGCGCAGAGTGGCATACTTATATTTTTTATTCTTGGAAGATAAGCACCCTTTTTTTGGGTGTAAAGATACAAAAAATTACAGAGACGTACAATCATAAGCCTATTTGGTTGCCAAATACAGCGCATAGCTACGCGAAAAATGTGTACATCAGTGCCGATCAAACACGAGCTCACAAATGCAAAAGAGATATGTATGAGCGACGTGACTGCGCTATACCACATACATACACACATAAACGTATTTCATAAATGTAGGTTCATTCTCCTTTGGTAGCTTGGTTGGTTTGATGAACCTTTTGGTAGGCAAAAATGTTTTGAAAATACAACCGAATTGAGCACTAAAATTTGTTCGCTTAATTTATGTTTACACGTTCAAAACATTGCTTTCACTTTGTTCGCACGTATACGATTTCTTTGTTTTTTCTATATTTTATTAAGCAGACAATTTTCTGCAAACAAAAACTAATTTCCCAAAGCTATGATCGATCAGCTGTTGAAATAGAACGAGAAATTACTTATCGTCTTGAAAAAAAAAAGTATGATAGGCAATTTGCAATGTGTGGGTGTATTGGTAAAAAAGTGCGAGTGTATGCAAATTGAAAAGAATTTGGGAATTTTTTGATTGAACTGCATAAAATGTCTGATTTTGTTTTTTCACGCACAAAAAAAAAATGTTTGAATAAATCAAATTAATCTCAAAGATATTTACATTTTTTGCAAAATATTTTTATGGAATAAGTAAATTCTTTTATTTAAAGGCACGAATTTGTTTTGTTTAACATTAAAATTTGTATGAATTGTTAACTAATAACTGTTAATTTGTGCTGAAAATCCCGTAAATTCAAGAAATCTAGCTTTAATGAGGAAAAAAAGTTTGGTAGTTTGCAAACTGATTTGGTAGG